GACAGTCACACAGCTCAGCTGATGAAAGGTTATAACAGCCGCATGAAGCTGCCTTTGTTTGGGTTGCAGATGTAGCCACATGCCAGAGGCATTTCACAGGGGCTTCTTTTACACTAGCTGTATCTTTCGGCTGCTTCCAGTTCTTTCGACAATGATGTTGGCTGCTGTTTTCTTTTTTTGAGCTGTCCTAACTTCCTTCTGGCAGCAGTAACAGTCAGTTGCTGTGAAGAAAGTAGCCTTGATGCTCTTTGAGAGAGAAAATGAAGCTGACTTAAGAAAAGGTAGAAACATTCAGTAGTTCAAGGAGTCAGAGAACCTTGTGCAGCTTCTCTGAAGCTCGAGGACGTGGTGGCTGGGATGTAGCAGTAACTATGAAGGTACAAAAGGAAATGGACTTCTTACATTGACAAGGCAGCAAAGTCCTGGAGACTGTGGTTTTCCTCCTGTTTTGTGGCCAATGTATCTCCATGTGTTTGTTTGTTTGTTTGTTTTGATGAGGGAAGGGGGTGTTGGTTTTGGTGTGTGGATTTTTTTTGTTTGGTTATTTTGTTTTAAACAATAAAAATAAAAACTTACTGGCGCATCATTATGGCTGCTCAAGGGCCATTCCAGTCCTGTCCCACTCAAATTTTTTTCACTATTCTATAGATCTTCTACTGTGCATTTAGCTTAGAAATAAGAAGCTTTCTCCTGGTAAGGTCTTAGTCATTATTTCTGAAGCAATAATTTGCCAAGTATCGAAGTTTTCAATAGGAGATTAACCTAGATATCTATTACTGATTGCTTCAATTCATCTCTCAAATTGTCTTCTACTTTACAAACTTTTTTTGTATTTCCTTCTGAATGTTCACCTATTTTTCTATCTAAAGTTTTCTTCTCCTGTTCATTCTGCAGTGTAGTCTGAGAATTTCTGCTTGTCACTCAGAGTACTTCCATGATCATCATCTCTAGATAAAAAGTGGATCATTTAAGAAAGAAAAACTTCTCAAGTTAATAGTAGGCTGTAATTAAATAGGATCTAATTATAGTAGGACTGCTGGTTATTCTTCGTGATTTATACCTGGGACCTTCCTAGTTTTTGTGAAGATCATTCCTGGAATTATTTGTGTATATTAGTTAAGAAAAGTTTGCTAGCTTTTAAAATGTAATCTGAAAATCTTACACCTTTTACTCCTAAATCAATATTTGAAGCTCTGAAATATTTATCATCAGGTGTCTGTATTGCATATGTGGATGGAAACACTTCTGCTTTATTTGCTTACATTACGTTGTTCAGTCACTTGCACATCTTGTACAATAACAAGGGAAAATACCATCAGTCCAAAAATACAGTCTACAAACAGAAGATGAAGATGGCTTGTCAGTTCTGTTGTATTTATTTTCTGAATCTATTTCGAACTAGTGACGCATAAGTAATGTAGCCACTGCATTCATTAGTCTTTGAGGACCTTTCCAAATAGGAAAAGTTTGGTGCTCAGGAACAGTCTCAGCAAAAGTCCTCACAAGAGAAACACTGAGGTGCTGAAATGTGTCTATCTGTAGTTACGTGGTAGTTTATGTGTGAAGGAGGAGGTGTGTGGCAGTTCCTTGCAGCATTTCATGCCCAGTCATTCGTTGCCTGAGTAAGCATCACTGAGTTTTTCAGTAGCTTCTGTAACAGATTTATTAAACAAAACATGCCTTTGTAATTGTCAGTCTTATGAATGCAACTTTGCCAAATGTAATATAAGATTCAAGGGGGGAGGGAAAAAATACGTAACACTGCTTCCCTCCTTTTTGCAGAGCAAAAATCCTGCTTTTTGTATACTAGCAAAGTTGGTGATGAAAGGGAAGATCGTTTAGTATTTCGGTTTAGTGCACCAACATGGAAGAATAAGTTGGTTTGGAAGATGCAGTTTTAGGGGAGTGTTATTCACATAATCAGTTCTTAAGTTCAAGCGGTGATGATGGGTATTTGTGTTGCAGTATTGTGTTCTGTATCTCTGGCAAGCCCTCACATCCTTTTCCTGTGAGCTCTACGACATTAAAAGAAATATAAGAAGTTTTACACTAAAAAATCAAATATTTGAGCAGTTTTAATAACCATGTTAAGACCAGGCCCCTGAAGTCTGGAAGAGCTAGTTTGGGTGGGGGGGAAGTTGCTTGGGTTTGGTGGGGGTTTTGTTGGATTTTTTACAAATTGGGGATTGAAGTACCCTGTGCTGTGCTTTGAAAGAGCAAATGGCTGCATAACTGGCATTTGAAACGTGAGAAATGCCCTGGTTAACACGTCACCAGGTTGAGCTTCACAGAGATAATGTTGCATTGGCAGTGTTGTACAGTGAATTATGTACATACATGTGCTCAAACTGTCTTCAAGCAAACCCTGAAGCAAACAGTTCTTAAGTAACAGGTATTCAGTAAAGGTATAATATTTCCGAACATTTGTTTCCAGCGATCTGGAGTAGAGCTTTAGCCCAGCAGATGAAGGCTGTAAACTTCCTCACTGTTGCGTGGTAGGAGTATGATAGGTTTGAGGGAGCTTTAAGTCTCCTTGAGAGCATCTTAAGGGGAAAGGAGGAATGGTAACATTTTCCCCAAATCATGTTCTGGGGAATAAAGAACAACCTGGAGAGAAGGGTTATGTCCTCAGATAAAGGCTGTCTGGACAAGGTAGTTCATGAAATTTAAATCATTCTTGGCAGCATTTCTTGAAGAAACTCAAGGAAAAAGTATCTCTCTGTTAATTTAAAATACTACTTTGTTTAACGTATCTAGAGCTATAGAACTCCTGAATCTCACATTATTAGTGCATATGCGTTTTCTGGTAGCATGCTTGTTCTGATTATTACTTAAAGACTTTGTCTTTCAATTTTGGAACTCCCTTAAGAGTTGTTTGGGGGTAGGGGGAAGGGAAACAAACTTGGTGATTGTTTCTTAAGTAAGTCCATCAGAGACTTAGATCTTTTGTCAAAAGGCAGCTTTGATTTTTTACTTTGTCAGAGAATCTACAGGGTTTTTTTCTGCATTTGAAAAGTTAATCTATCTTAGTATGTACAGATTGCACTAATTTAACTGGGATATATTAGACCTAGTTTTCTTGCTTCTTTGAGTGGAAGATGACTTACAGGGTGGGGGGCAGACGTTGTTGATTTTGTTCTTTTGAGAGGACCTTTTAGATACTTTTAGATAATGCTTCAAATTTCCTTAGGTATTTCTTTGGCTAATGCTGATTTTCTTTCTCACCAAACACTTTCAGATATTCCTTTCCTCTAGTCATAGCAATTTTTATTAATTTACCACTGGGAAAACCTTTTGTGCAGTATCTTTTGTATTTATTCCCGCTCACTTCTGAGGAGATTTTTAGGCTGTGTGTTAAAGTACCAGAAAGGTCAGTGAACAACTTAGCTGAACTCATAAACACGGCTTGGACCCTAAGCACGTTCTCACTAGAGCTTGGGTAACTGCCACTTCTTTGGAAATGTGGTTTCTCCCCTTCTGCTGGGCCTGGTGCTTCTCCTGTCCCAGGCTTCATCTTCTGGGTGGATCTGACTTGATCTCAAATCTTGCAAATACATTTTCATGAGGAAAATCAGGATGGTGGTTTGGTTAATGGTCTAGCAACTTCTTTAATTCCTTTAAAATGCCTCAAAAACATTTGTATCCTGAAATTAGAAGTAGAAATCAATGAGGCTTTGAAAGTCTTTGTTACTTGATTGCTGGCTGTACACATGAAGTCAGGTGAAGGTTGGAGTACCATTTGGCTCTTATTTTTGTCTTGTCTTCCAGGTGTGGCTGACAACCTGGAAGACAATCAAAAATTACAAATACATTTGAAATATATTTATTACATTCTCATTTACTGATCATTCATGTTACTGTCTTTTGGGAAGGATTGCCAAAAGTCCTAAGACATATCTGGTATCTTCTAGACTCCTCACATTCTTTTTTTGCTCAAGTTCTGTGCAGAATTTGATACAGTACATTATGGTACACAGTATAGTGCAGTACACTAGGTCCTTAAGATGGCTGACAAAAGCAGATATTTGTGATAAGTGTCTTAAATTTTTGCTAGACTGGGGGGGGGTGTCTTCAGCTGGACTTGGACTTTTCCCATTCAGAAACTTTTGAACTTGGGAAATGGGATGACAGGGTCACTTAGAGCACACTAATCAGGTTTGTGTGTGTGTGTATATATATATATACATACACACACATGTATACACATGTGCGTGTGTATATCAGTAAGAAATTAAATCATTGAGCTTAGTCATTAGGTTTTCTTGTTTGTTGAAGACCACTGGAAGTTAGTATGTAGTTCAGTTGTTTCCTTCAGGAAAAAATCCCTAAATCCTTCTTTTCTTTTTATTATTAAGAAAAAAAAGTTAACATCCAAACCCAGGCTTGTGTCCCTTACAGATGTTTGTGAGACCTTTTTCCTTGGGTGGGAGGAGACACAGCTGTTTCTCAGGTATTCTTTTAGAAGCAGAGAGGTGTGGTTGTTGCAGTTGAGCTTATGAAGGGAGACCTGAGAGGGATCCTGAAGTGGGTTTGCTGACGTGGTGGTGTAGAGAGATTCATTCCCAAATTCCCAGCAGCATTATTCTGTGTACCAACACATCACGCTCCCCAGCCACAAGGAAACTGGAGGCATGGGGAATAAATGTAGCCTCTTTCTTTATTTTAATGGATAAGTTCAACTGTAGTGGGAAAGTATGAGATTTTTGTTGCTGAATGACAGCAAGGAGCCGGTCTTCCTACCCAACAGTCTTTTATGTTTGGAAGTGCAAAAGATGAGAGAGGATTACCTAGGGTAAAAAGATGAGTATGCTTTGATGGAAAACTGGTATGGGTGCAGTGTACAAGGAATTCTTCAGCTGGAGAAAAGACTCCTTTCCGTTTTTGGCATGGTGCTGTATTAAGGAGCTTAGAATAAGTAGCTACAGAGACAGTCCTATGTCTGTAACTGAAAATATTCAAGTCTTTCTGTAAATGTATTATAAATTTCTGTTACTCTTATTTTTTGTTACAGGAGCTAGAGTTAATGCCAAAGACAGCAAATGGTTGACTCCTTTACACAGAGCTGTGGCATCTTGTAGCGAGGTATGCTTGGGTCTTATGACTGCTTTGTGTTAAAATAAGGCATATCTAATTACCTGCTGTTCATTGTTCAGTTTTTACAAAGTGAAACTACTCCAAATGTTTGGAATTGCAGAACGTTTTTGCTACTTTGTTTTTCCTATTGAGACTCTGTGTGTGTATATACACACATACATATATCTATCTATCTATCTATCTATCTATCTATCTATCTATATCTCATGTGCCTGAGTGGAAAGAAAGTGGGAAAACTACACACTTCAGTTCTCAGCTTTGCTCTCTGCCATTTCCCTAGCAGAGGATTCTGCATGCAGTGTTCTCGTGTCCAGTTTACTTCTCTTAAGGTAACTTGACTGATTCAGCATGAAAGCAAAGATTAAAATCTAGTACAGCTTTTATAGCATAATCTTTGCATTTCTTCATTTTTTACATGCTTGTCTCTTCAGGCATTGAAGAAATAAATAGTTCTATAAGGCCTGCGAACATCTTTTTTTAAAAAAGTGATTAATGAGTACTGACAGTATTGAGAATCACCCTAGAAGCTGTAAATTAAATATGTAGACAAGTTTTTTTGAAGTCTACCAGTCACACAGTGGGAGAATATAGTAACATAAGAAACGCCTCTGTTATTGTTCCTCTGTTGCTGATGTCCTAATAAAAATTTTAAATGCCTGTAGAAGATAAAAAGAGAGAAATGCTGAGCTTGTTATGTGGAAGAGTTTATGCAAAACCGTCTCCTTAGAGAGACTGAGTCAAATCAATGCTTGTTTCAGTATGTATCAAAAAAAAAAAAAGTTTTTTTTTACGGATTCTGTGTAAATTTTTGTTTGAGAAGATGGATACTTTTGATAAGCATTGAACTTCAAGTATTTCGTCCGCCAACTATCTAAGCAAGTCTTGTTTCAGTTTTCACCTTAGAATTTCCTGGATAAACTGCAATATTTTGTCACTAGCATTAATAGCTATGGTTTGTGGAGATCATGTTATTCAAAATAGTGTTTGAAAAAGGATCTTCAAGGACATCTTATTCCCAAATGCTATTTGTTGTTCTTGAGGTATTTTTAGGCTGCTCCTTTGGGAGCTGACCAAAGCATCAAATGCTTCATTCTTCAGAGCTGAGGGACAATAAAAGCTCCTTCTGTCAGTAATGCTTGCAGAGGGGGGTGCTGCAGACAAATTAGACCTAAATTATAACTTCAAGAACTCCAACCATGGTCATATTTTTTGAACTGTAGAATATTTTAAACAAAATACTAACCAAACGTGTAAACCAATCAGACTGTTTACCCAAAAGGCAGTGAGAAGTGCTTGTCAGAATTGTCTATTGTAAACTCAGTTAGTCGGAGGAGCCCACATACGTGGTTGATACATGTAGACGCTGTTTTCCAGCTGGCAGACATACACGGGGTTTGGCCGTTAGATGAAAAAAACTGTAATGAAAAACCCCTTGATAATTATTTCAGTAAAAAGAATGGACTTACTCTTGAGGCAAAGACAGCTGCAATTAAACAAGGACATCGAAACATGCAAAATTGCTGGAATTATAGGTTTGGCTATCAACTGCACAAGTTCAAGCAACTCCATGTGACTCCTGTCACACTCCAGGCATCTATATTTGTATGCCTGGTGTACTTTCTGGGATGGTACAACACACCTAGCTATTGTACCACAGGGTAATTCGAAATTTCCAGTAACTACTTGCTGTGGTAATGCTTAAAGTTCTGTGTGCCAACTCTTTATTTGTATGCCAAGTGTTTGAGCTGGAAAGTCACTGAAGGCAGTTAATGAATTGTAAGGTGGCCGAGTTGATGCAGAATGCAGCAGTATTCCTCATCATGTTGATACCACCAACAGATTATTTCATTTTTTTTAATGCATCCCAATTGTGTGCACATATTTTAATGGGATCTATCTTGCTGTAAGAATTACAGTCTTATTTGTCAAATTTTCACAGCTTGTACTTCTAACAAAAGGAAATGAATAATCTTTGTGAGATGGAATTCAGTGCAACATTAGAAACGGTTTGCAAGAGTTTTGCAACAGTATATGTTGAAACTTTTTGTGACCATGCTCTGTCATGCCTTTTATCTGAGGTTTTCTAAATGTGCATTTAATAAGCTGTTCTTCTCTTTGCCATTTCTAACAGTTCAAAATCTTTGCTTGGCAAATTGATGAAAATGCATTGTAAGTTCATAGTACTTCACTAATCCTTAACAATGGAAGAAATCCTAAGGAGGTTTATTGAGCTTTGGAAATTAGTTGTGAATGACAAAACAGTTTACCAGCCAGCTTAAGAAACTGGATAAAAGACCTGGAAATAGTTTATTCAGTTGAACCCTGTAGGGAATATATTGCTCATGTTCTTGAGAACATGCCCAAGTCTGGATTTATGGTTAAGTATAAATCCCAAAGTATAAGATGATGTTCACAAAAGAACAAATTGGAAGTCGTTCTATTCCATTACACTGTCCTTGGATGTAAGGCTGGCATTTCAAATGATTACTAAGTGGCTTCTATTTTTGAAAATGCTTTCAGGATGCTGTTCAGGTGTTGTTAAAGCATTCAGCAGATGTCAATGCTCGTGACAAGAACTGGCAGACACCCCTACATATAGCAGCTGCAAACAAAGCTGTGAAATGTGCTGAAGCTTTGGTGCCTCTCCTAAGCAATGTCAATCTGTCTGATCGAGCAGGTAGAACAGCATTGCATCATGCAGCCTTCAGTGGACATGTTGAGGTAAGAGTTATTCTTCTTAGCTTGTGTCTCACTCGTCATTCTGTCACTCATATTTCTGATGTTTAGTTTCTCAGTTTAAAGTCATGCTTCCCCACATCCCCTCAAAATACACTAACGCCTGTTTTATATTTGAATTTCTTTTGTATGCAGCTGTGTACAGAATAGTTGTGAAAAATACATGTTACATCATTTAGTTGGAAGGTTATTGCAGCATTTACCTTTCTTAAGACAGAAGCAAATTTGCCCGAGTTAAGTGGAGTTAAACTAATCATAGATAAATTTTAAATGGGAAAAAAAGGTATTTTTCTCTCCAGCAGGTAGCGAACATACTGAATGTGTTTTCACTGAGATGTGAAGGAAATGCTTGTAATAAGCTCTAACTCATTCGTTTTCAAGCCCTGAAAAATGACTACTGAGAAATGCCAGTTTTAGTTGTGTATAGGTAGTTGGAGACAAGTTGATAATAGGCTTGCTTTTAGTGAGTAACTTTAGTGAATTCCTTGGTAACAGCCTGCCTAAAGATTTCGAAGATTCCACAGATTTGCTGTATTTAACTGGGAAATGTTTCTGTAGAGTTGTGTTCCTCACAGTTGCTTCATTATTTCTGCCAAGGTGGGCAGCCAATTTTTTCAACCTTACGGAATACTCAAAAAAAACAACACAATGAAATCCTTTGAAAATGCATATATTTGTTTTTCTCCTATGATTTTCTTTGTCTAACTTAAGCAGAGTTTTCCATTATGAATAATGGATTTCTTTTCTTTCTATCTCAGATGGTCAGCTTACTGTTATCTAGAGGGGCCAATATTAATGCATTTGACAAGAAAGACAGACGAGCCATCCATTGGGCAGCATATATGGGTATGTACATGTTTCAGTTGATTACTGTTGTGGTGGTAAAAAAAAACCCAAGACTTACATTCAATGGGTTTATGTATTTCTAGGAAAAATGACAGGTGAAAACTTTTGCAATAATGCCAAATAGTAAGCAGTTAATACAAGGGGCACCTGAAACAAGATCATTACACCAACCTTGGAGATAGTATTTTAAAAGAAGAATATTTCATCTCTTAAGCTGCATAATCTTGCCTTGCTATTCTTATTCTATGGGTGAACAACTGTTGTTCTCATGGTATTGTTCAACGCACTGGCAGTACTGTCAGAGTAATGCACTTAATTGCCTTTTACCAGACTCCCATTTTATTAAGTGGTAGGAGTTGTTTTCTTCAGCATAGCTATAATAAGTAGTAGAGTTTTGTATCTCAAGCTTCATTTAAAATATGAGCAGTATAAACCATTGGAAGGTGAATCATAGAAAATGCATATTAAGAGTCCTAGGCTGACAATGACAGAGTTCTTAGCTTTGGCTAATCATTTTGTTTCTAAGTAACTCACATGCAACTGCAGATTACATTTGTTATTGCAGAATATGTTGTTCAGAAATCGTAAAAACATAGTGCCTCTTCTAACTTCAAGAAAATGTCTAAAAATGCCCTTGAACACGTGCAACGTGTCATACGTAAGCAGTGAACAATTAAGTTTCAGTGTCAATTTCAGGAAGAAGCCAGTTAAGATGATTCCATGGTCTTGATTGTCATTCAGTGTTTTAGTTTATTGCTTTGTAATTTTATCCAGCCAAGGGAGAAGAATAAAAGCGCTAGCATCAATATTGTATGAATCTGTATGCCTGGGAATTTTTTTGAAGATGAAATGGGCAAACAGGACTTCATTACCTGTAATTTTTTATTCCTGTTATGTTTTGATGTGCAGTTTGGTATTAATGCTCTTTGTTATGAATGAGAGAATTACTTATAAAGAGGCGTAATGGTGTGCAATGTGTATGCGTGAGGAGGTGGCTCTTAAAAACAAACTTAAGGTTGCTGCTTAACTCATCTGTTACTCTGTGGCACTGAGTAACATGACTGCTTTGGAGTTGTTACCTTTATCCAAGCAATGTTTCCTAATCTTGCCAGGAAAGAGCAAATGGAAGCAGTAACTTAAAAGTGGATATACAATTTTTTATTTACACACTGAGCAAAACAAATGAGCAGCAGCATGTGGGGCAGAACCTATTTAAATATAGTTGCCAAATACCTTACCCTGAGTTTTGGGGGTTGATAATAACTCGCTGGTTATATGAAATGTGCTTTGGTCTGAGGACTAAAAATTTTGGCCTTTATAAATGCAAACCCACACATTTACAAAATTGGGCTTGTTTGTAAGTTCTCAATGGTTGTAAAAGTGATCTGCTCACACTGAAGTGGAATTAGTAACTGCTGCCTTTGCACAGCTGTGTTTCAGGCCAATTTCACATTAGTCTTACATCACTGACGACACAGGTCTAAATCTGATAGCAGTGTAAAATGAGGCTGTGAAATCCATATGTGAAATGCTAAGAACAACAGAACCGTGTCGAACTGTCTTAAGAAGAAAAGTCTTGGATGTGCCAATGAATTATGAAGTGATTGTCACAGCGTTACTATTCTAACTTATAATTTGACGTTGCATGATATTGCATCTCAAGTACTAATACCAGTACTTGAAATTAAGAAGTTAAAGAACAATCTTCATTATTGGTTGAAGGTTCTTTGTGTTATTTTATGTTAGTATTTTCTAATCTACTTTCAAATGAAAAGCAGTGTCTGTGACAGGCTGTCACCTTATGCAAGGTGACTATTGCAAATTTTCTTGAACGAAACTTGGGCATGAGATTGCAGAGATGTCTGGCTAGTGCTCACCTAGATGAGAGCAAAGTCTTCTGTTTTTCAGATAAGCTACATTTATTCCAATTTTAGTTGATGCTGCTTCATAGGCTATTAACAGGAAACTGTTAATGAACACTTTGGAAAAAATGTGATTTATCTGATGTCAGTCAACGTAAATATCCTTGCAGAAAAAAAGCTTTTGCAAGTCTTCAAAAAAGGAAAAAAAACACCCAAGTGTGGCATTCTCTCCCCCAATTTAGAGCCATTTTATACTGCTCCAATTCTTCGAAGAAAGCCTTAAAGCTTTTCCATCATATAAAACTGACCACAGAATAAAAAAGAAGTTATGCTTTCCGTCACTGTACTATAAATAACTTCCTAGGGTTATATCCATTGTTTCCTTTCCTTCCTGCTTTTCACCCGGCTCCATTGCTGTGTAGCTGCAATGCTGCGACTAAAATGGACTTTCATTCTTGTGTGCTAGCGTTGCCCTCATTAGTGTATTGGGATGTCTCCTCAGCGCTTCCCACTTCAAGTACCTTATTCTTCTGTTTGAGTGTCTTCCACTGATTGCTGCTTGTGTTCTCAATGCAGGTCAGGGATTTTTTTTTTGTTTTTTCTTCTCTCTAAAGTTTTTCTGCCACTGTTGTGTTCAGTATCTCTCATCCTTTCACTGCTTTCAGTATCTTCAGTACTTTTACCTCATATAGGGCTTGTTTTCGTTCTTGTCCTGATTATATTTTGGTCAGAAGATGGTTATCATGTTTACATGTCTCTTTCTCTTCTTTCCTACAATACTGAAGTAATTCAGAACTGAAGTATTGCAGCACTTCATGTTACATTGCTGAACTCCATGTTTCTGATCAGTACAGCTAGGTGAAATGTCATTTTGTGTGTTGTCGGGTATGCAGCATAAAACGGGTATCATGGTGACTGACTTTGTATTCCTTCGGGTGGACACTTCCTACGCAAACTTTTGCAAATTCTCTTAGTTATTGAGAAAGCAAAGACCCTCACTTTTTATGAAGCACTTAAACTGAAGGCTGGTTTTGATACTTCTTACTTACATGACTGGATAAGCAGAAGTACTCAGTGTGCTTCCCACCCCTTTTTTAACTAAGGTATCACTTGAAAGGTAAAACAAGGAGTCCCACATCTGTCTGTACGCATCAGTTACAAAGGTAAAGCACTAAATGTATCGTGGTCTATTTAATTCAAGTGTGTTCCTTTATTCTGCAGATGTTTTCATGATTGTTTATGTGTTTTCAATGATTGCCCTGTTTGGCAGTTGAACTGACAACTGAGCAAGAATGACTGACATGGGTTTTTGCTTTTCTTTTAGCATGCAGTGTCAGAACTGCATGCAGACTATCGAGGAAGCATGCAGGCAGGGTGAAGGGGAATGCTTATTGCCCTTTGCAGCAGTGGTGTGGTGTTGGGGACCCTGGCCCAGCCACAAAGATGGCTAAGAGAGTGGCTGCCCACTAGTTCAGAGTGAGCTCCCTGCCCTCCTTTCGCTTTTCCACTCCTTTACCTGCAACTTCCCACAGGTCATCCGTTCCCCATTATCCCACTTGAATCTTCCTCTTCTCCTAGTGCCTTAAGGGACTAGTTAGTGCTTTCTTAAGTTCCTCTGAGGCCTGAGTCAGTTGTGAAAATAAAGCTTTGCTAATTCATGTATGATTTGGGTCCACATTGTAAAGGCTTTGCAAGTAAAGGAAGTAGGATTGGGGGGGTGTATATTTTTAAAAATAGAATATTTTCTTGTTTTCATATTGTGCAATTATTTTGAAGTTTATGCTGAATTTCTTAAAAACCTTAATGGGAGTGTTAGCAGTTGAAGTAAGTAAGAACACAAGAAGTAAGCAGAGCACAAGATCTTATTATTTGACTATACAAGATTATTTTTGCAGTATAAATACTATGGTTATTGGAGGGGTATATGGAAATAATATTTTATGTTGCTTTTATAGGTCACAATACAATTAGAATACAAGAACAATTCTTTCTTTTCCGTATTAGGTTCAAATGAATAATGGCTTGTTCATGTTATAACAATTCTGTGATTTTCAAGTTTGTAAACTCGTGCTACCTAATACAAAACGCAGCATCGTTCTTTTCGTCTTTATTCTTTTAGGTCATATTGAAGTTGTGAAATTGCTTGTGGCCCATGGAGCTGAAGTGACATGCAAAGACAAGAAATCATATACACCCTTACATGCTGCAGCGTCTAGTGGGATGATAAGTGTAGTCAAATATCTTCTAGATCTTGGAGTTGATGTAAGGAAATAAAAACCAAAGTGATATTTTTTTTTTGTTGTTTGAGATGCTCTTGTTAGTCTTGTAGCACACTGTTTATTTAGGGGCAGGATATGATATAGTGAAAGTAGTATTTCCAAGGGTCTTTAATCACATGGGGTTTTTTTTGTTATAAAACCTCATTCCCCTAGGTAACTTAAGAGCCTTACAGGTTTTGCACAATTACTTGGACGTAAATTTGTATTTAGTAGATATTTTTGTTTGTTTGTTTGGTATTTCTCACTCTTAGTTCATTGGATCAGAAGTCAGGAATTCTATTTGTAGCTTTGCTACACAATCCTTTTTGAACTGCAGGAAATTAACTGTGTTGCTTCGGTTACTTGTAAAATATAGACATTACTGACTTTCTTACACCACATGAGTTTTGGGTAATACAAAAAATTGTGAGAAACTTCCATTCTGCAGTAAGGAAGGTAAAATTAGTATTGAAATGCAAACCAAATTAAAAGGCTGTATGGTACAATACCTGCATGGAGAAAGTATGTTAACAGCAAACTGAAACTGTAAGAAATGTACATTGTGAATCATGTTTTAGCCTTACAGGGCTGGAGGGTGCTGCCAAAATTCTATCTTGAGAAGTAGATCAGAATTATCATGTCGTGCGTAACTACAGCTTAAAATTCAATATACTCCGCCCCTGCGCTTTGATCTCTGTTCTTAACGGAAGCCCACAAATGCTGTTGGAAACCGATAGAGCTCCGTGCTGTGCTTAGTTTGTAGTGTCTGTGCAAATTGCCACTGCTGATGTTGTTTCCATGTGTGTGTTCTGTAAAGTTGCATACTACATGCAGGAAACTGGTGTGGAGACAATTGCAGGAGGTTGGCTTGCTTATAAGGTAATTGTACTCTTCCCCGGTACATTTCTCTGTTAAACTGCTACATCCAGAAATTGCTTTTAATTTCTGGTGTTGAAGAGTTCCAAAACATAATGAAAAAGTTGTGTCATGACGTTTCTTTGTCATAGCTAAATGCTGCAGTAATACAGGTTTTTGCCTACTAACTAATCTTGGGGTTTTGTTTTGCTTTGTTTCTCTGATAGATGAATGAACCAAATGCCTATGGAAATACACCTCTCCATGTAGCTTGCTACAACGGGCAAGATGTTGTAGTGAACGAACTCATAGACTGCGGTGCTAATGTAAATCAAATGAATGAGAAGGGTTTTACACCTCTGCACTTTGCTGCTGCGTCAACACATGGAGCGTTGTGTTTAGAGCTTTTGGTCTGTAACGGAGCAGATGTAAATATGAAGGTAGGCAAATCCAAAGCCATCCATTCACTCTTCAAGTTGCAGTTTTCTTTATCAGAGATAATTTTTCAAAATCATGGTTCTGATAATGTTTAGAAATGTCCACTGATTGATGGAGTACTTCTGTGAAAAGTACTATAGGAAAAATGAGCCAGTATGTTGCTTTAAAGAGCTTGATCTGAATCTGAAAACCTCAATGGGATGTAATAAATAGCCCAAAAGGGTAGAGAAGAAAGATAACAATACTGTCTGGTCAATCTTGGTTATACTAAATGTCAGAATTCCACAGAATTGTCTTCACTAGTCTATCTTTATGATTAAGAGCAAATCATATGGAAAAATGCAAAAGAACATGTTTTTCTTATAAATAACCCCACTGAAAAAAAAAATCAAGTCTATTTCAGAGAAATGTGTATGAATGGGCTAATTGCTGGAGCAGCTAAAGAGCTGATAATGTAAGATCCTAAAATCTAGTTAATTAGGGAGAGGTGTGACAGGTGTAGATTAGGCCAAAGTCCTAAACATCTGGTTTTTTAATTACTCCAACAAAACTTTGTGAGCAGAGTCAATGTATGCTTTACATTTCTACTTGGTCACACGTGTTTGGCTGCAGAATGTTCCTTAGAATCCAGTCTTAGTGTAGGAAGAATTTCTAATCCATACACATATAAAAGCAAACTAAAACCTGTATCTTCTATTATGTTCTCTAGTGCGTAGGGTAAGGTCTTGAGATGTGAGAGAGGAGATACGTGACCTCCTGTTTTGTATTAAGTTGATTTTTACTCTAGTAATAAAAACTTAACTGTGTTGAGAAATATTCAGTGACAGCGTCTGTCTTGAGACGTTTCAGGCGCTGGGGTAAGTGGGAAACGGGTACGTGGCATGAAGTGTCCAAGTATTCCTCTTGCAAAATATCTGATTGCCTCCACATGTGGCAGGAAGAGAGTAATTTGTCTTTTAGTTTCTGAAATAAATGAATCTGTTTACTAGTTCGGCCTGAATTTCGGCACAATCTGGATAAGAGGTGAATATTAACAATATTTTTGTTAAAAATCACAGGGTTTGTGGCTCACTTCACATCATATATTCACCCTGATCACTGATTTCAGTTAACTGATTCTAAAATTCAGTTTTATACTTATTGTTAGTACAAAATCAGTAGCTCACTGAAAATTTGGGAGTAGTTAAAAAATGAGATACTGGATGTGGAAAAAACATTAGATGTATGTTACTGCTCAATTCTATTTAAACATTCAGCTCATTTAATGAAAACATTCTTAAATTCAGTTGTGGAAAAATTCATCACCAAAATGCCCTGGAGAAATAAGGAGCTGTGTTTGTGCTGCAGGGTTTATTGTCAACTTCTCCTAAAAGACACAGGTCATAGTCCATTTATTTTTGTTGCCAACTTTGTGCTCAGCATAATGTCTAATGAATATAGAATCATCTAAGTTGGAAAAGACTTCTAAGATCATCAAGTCCAACTGTTACCCCAGAACTGCCAAGCCCACCAGTAAACCATGTCACTAAGGGCAAAATGACCTCCCCTCAAGATCTCCCCTCATGGCTGCCTCTCATAATCTCCACTCATGGCCACCCCTTATCCGCGCCCCATAGTGGCCCACACTGTATAGTTGCCGCCCCTACCTCACACGGCCACCCCTCGTTGCCCCTCAAGATCTCTCTCCATGGTCATCCCTCACACCCCATGACTGCCTGTGCTCTCCCCTTATGATCTCCATTCGTTATCTTCCCTCATGACTGCCCCTCAGCCCTCAATGCTGCCCCTGCTTTCTCCTCGTGATCTCCCCTCACCCCGCATGGCCACCCCTCCTCTCCCCTCTACATCTTCCCTCATGGCCACTCCTCTTTTCCCCTTGTGATCTCTCCTCATTCCGCATGGCTGCCCCTTCTCTCCCCGCAGGATCTCCCC